CCCCACCAGCACAATTGCAATCGCATCCATCTCCCCCCCCATGAGCACGATTGCAGCCATCTCCCCCCTCCTGAGCACAATCGTTATGGCACGATTATGATTTAGACTCTCCCTCCAAACAATAACCTCCCCCCGCACCTAGGTTAGTGTTCTCTACTGTACTGCACACTTCGTTGTTCTTTGTTACTTTGTTTCAAATTTTTGTGATTAAAAAAATTAATTACAGAACAATTAACCTTATTCTCATTGAACCTTATGGAGAAATTTGACTTGGCTTGCAACCAATTCAGGTAGCTACCAGAGTCGTGAAATGGATTAAGTTTGTGAGCCAAGGTACCACTATATTCCCAAATGCGGAAAAAACAGTGAAACAGTTGCTGATATGAACTATAGTCAAGTCTCACAGAGCTAAACTGGAATAACAAAAAAAAGTTGGATGCAGACTTCTAGAATTGGTACTATTCAGTCATCCAAAGTAATGGACACCATTTCAGAATCTACTTAGGTGACAAGGAAACAGAAAATAATGTTTCCTGAATCTGTTGGAAGGCAACAAATAAAATGTTTCCTCCAGAGTCAGGTTGGTAGCAGAGGGTTAGGGCTGCTGCATTGTGATATGCTCTGGCCAAGTCCTACTTCCTTTTGGAAATGAGGCGGCTTTCCCTGACCACCGTTTGACAATAGCATCTGGAGTACCTCAGTCAAGTGGCAATACAACTCCACACTCCTACTCCTGGAGTAGTAAAAGGAGGTACAGAGACTCTAGATGGTACTTAGCTCTAAGTGCTTGGTGTGCCTAAGCCACACAATGGATAAACCAACAAGGAAAGGACTGGCAATCACAAATTTTGGCTTTGCTATTAAGTTCATCTGACAATCATGAATCCCTGTTTAAGAGTGTTTTGCTATGAGGATTGGGAATTTGCTGTTCAAGAAAACCCAAGGCGTGGTTTGCCCCAAAATATTTTAGCAATCCTTTGGCCTATACTTTCAGCAAGCAAATGAGAATGGTTACAACTGTTAGGAAGTATGAACTCCTTGCCAAAATGAATCAATCATTTGTTTATGAAGCTACTTGACAACCGCAAACAGTCCTACTAGAAATTCTATGGGACCTGTATGGGAGAGTTTCCTGGTTGAATTTGGCACTCTTCACGAAATATTTTCTAGATAATAGTACTCTGTGGAAAATATTGACCTAATACTTTTAACAAGATGCTGAAATAAATGCCTCGAATTATTTCAACCAACGTGTCCTTTTATACAACAATGGGAATTACAGTGCTGTGTAACACTGCACAAATTATACATGGATGGTACTAATTGTATAGATCTTGCCTGTTTCATCAGTGCATGACAATGCAAAAGAGAAAGAGCACATGTTTTCTTTCTTGTCCAGACTTGCATTTACAACTTCAAGATGCTTTCTACTTGTCTGTAAGGCTGTGCTACTCCAACCATGAGACTAGGATAACTGCATAAAATCACCTCAGAAGGGAGAGAAATTAGGAAGACAAGACCTTCTGCAATTTGTCTAAAAACAAATAGTCAAAATGCAATGCAGACAAAGCTAGTTTACTTCAAGAGATATATTTATCTTCCTGCAGAACACAAACAACTTGTGATAGGGATATTATCAGGACCTAGACTTGATCAGAGAACAACAAAAAATCCTCTGAAGATTAGAAATGCAAATTAAATTGCCTTTGATTTGAAGTCAGTCTTCCTTCCTTGATAAGTACCATATAATTTTTAGCAAGGATTTGCAGTGTTTAACATTTCAGATTTTTCTCAATTAGCTTTTGCAGTTCTGATATACAAAAATGCATCTACTTAATACAAAATTGGACTTGTAGGTTTTGATGACAGATGCAGCACATGCACACACATGTGAGAGAGCCAGTGTGGTTAAAAGTGAGGGACCGCGTCTCAGGAGATGTGAGTTCTAGTTCCCACTCAGCCATGGAGTCCACTGGGTGACTTTGGTCCAGTTACAGACTCTCAGCCCAACCTACCTCACAGGGCTGTTGGAAGAACATTATTTAAGTTGCTTTGAGTGGACAAAAACGTGAAATATAAATACTACCTGCAATAAACTGCTCTTAAAATGTTATTGTAAAACCACTTATCCAAGATTACAAACAATAATGAAAACCAGGAGAGCCACGGAAGGACCCCTTCTCCAACCTCAGCCTGAAACAAAATTATATTTTTCTAGAATCAATCGTACTAGGAACATTTTTCCCTCGATGCTGCAATCCTAAACCCCATAACCTGGGAGTAAGTCTGAATGAATTCAATTGGGTCTTACATTTGAATAGGCATGGTTAGAATTATGTTGCACAATATTAGTTCTCTTAATATTCAGTGCTAGATTCAACAACAGTGTCCCCTGCAGTGTACCCAAATGATCTCTCTTTAGCTGAAACTGATTTTCTGCATGGGCTGGGCAGAGTCATCAAAAATCTTTTGGAAGTGCCTACCCTAGAATCAGTGTTGGAGGATTTTGCAGCAGTGTCCCCCCCCCACTGTGTGTGTGTGTGTGTGTGTGTGTGTGTGTGTGTGTGTGTGTACTATGCAGTTCTATCACATGGAAATGACAATTCATACTAGAATATATACAATATACAGTAGCACCTTTCTGTCCATGTTCCCCCACAATTAATACTGAGAAGTATTGATAACAAGCTGAGTTTTTGGAAAGCTCGCTTATCATTCTTCATCTTCTCTCCAAAGACCCCGTAGCTACTTGGCATCCATTTTCCAACTGTGTGACACTAAGTTGAAACTCCTGAATGGCAGGGCAAAAGAATGCCTCTTGCACCATGGACTACACCCTTGACAGAGAAATTACAATAGAAGCCAGTTTAGCTGAGTAATCCACAGAGCTCATAACCTACAAACAGCCTTCCAGGCAATGCCTGCAGTGTTTAAAACTGTCTAATCTAGATTCCACTGCTTTTTTGTCACTCTGCCCTGCAACTCGCCCTCCCCACACACAAGACACACCTCCTTCAAGGAAAAGCACCAGCAAGGGAGTTCAGGGAAACTGGTAATGGTCAATTCTGCTCTATTTGCCTATCCCCATAATTCATTATCTTTAGTTTGAAATACTGTAAAGACACTCCTAACTTCATAAGGGGCTTTAACTGATTTTTTAATGTTTAACATAAAAATTCCATTAAAGATCATTAATGGAAGTTTTTAAAAAGCTCCAAACCAAAGTAAAACATATCAGTACAATAGCTACAACTATTAAAAGCTCAGATAAGGAAAGTTTAGGCTTATAAAACCATGATTAGGCTTATCAAACCATGCCTTGCTGGGACTGATTAACTGCTACTGTAGACCTGAACCACGAAACTAAGGCATAATATATAAAAATATAATAAAACTATTTCGCTTAGAAAAAGACACAAAGGGAGACATGACATATGTTCATAGAGTTATGCATGGTGTGGAGCAAGGGGATAGGAAGACATTTTCTTTCATGATAACAGGACACAGGATTGTCCCATGAAGCCAGTTGGTGGGAGATCCCAGAGAGATAAAAATACTTCACACAATACCTAGCAAAACTATGGAATTTACTTCCACAAGACTAGATGATGGCTATCAGTCTGGGTAGCTTTAAAAGAAAACTGGACAAAATCACAGAGAAGCCTATCAATGGTTATTACCTCCCTTATGCCAATTCTAGAATCGAATGCAGTGATATTTTTTTGCCAGAGAATACAGGCAGGAGGGTACAAGTTAACCTCTTGTTCTGCTGATGGGATCCCTTAGGCAGCTAGTCATTCACTGTGTGAACCTGGCCATGGTCTAATTGGCATGGCTGTTCATATGATTAACGTCCAAGAAATCCGGGTTTGTCAAAATATAAAGAAATGCTGACTTAAAGTAACAGCTTCATTACAAACTACTTTGGATTACTTAAGTCCTAATACAGCAAGTCAGTAGACCCTCAGTGCTGTCCCAATTCTCGATGAGCTAACAGGCAATTCCTGTTATCAGCTGTTTCTAGTTACAGAGCACCAACAGCTTTACAAGGTTGTTAAAAATCTGCAGCTGTGGTTCTATTACGTTTTTTCCCAGGAACCCTTGTATCTTCTCATGCTAGAGGAAGAGCAAAGCAGCCCTCCCCAACCATGCAACCTTCAAATGCTCTGAACTGGGGACACTGGGAGTTGTGGTACATCATATTGGGAGACCACCAGCTTGGAGCAGGCACAATTCAGGTCACCAGGCAATTCTTCTACCCAGTGCTGAACATGGCCAGGATCACAATACTGGCAAGATGCCTATTTTCAGGAAATACATCATCTTCCACATTCACCACTGATTGTAGAATGTGAGAATCATGGCTGTTCTGAAAAGATAAACAATCTACTACTACATCATTGCCTCACCTTCCCAACCTTGCCAGAAAGGGCCTAAGCCTAGTGCACCCTTCTTTGCAACTAGGCAAAATATCATCTTAACCTGGGAAATTTCTTAGCCAATACTCCACTGAGAGCCAATATAATGTAATGGTTAGAACGATGGCTCAGAATCCAGGAAACCCAGGTTCTAGTTCTCCCTTGGCCACCAAGTTCACTGGGTGGCTTTGGCCTAGCCTAACCCACCTCACAGGGATGTTGGAAGGATATTATTGAGGGGAGGAGGATTATATAAGCCGTCTCGAGTTTTCCAAAATGAAGAAAAAAAATCGGGGATTATGAATAATAATTCCAAGCACTTGGTAAAGGTTACGCATTAGCAGTTCGAACTGCAGCACCATTGCAGTCAGGGTCTACCCATCTCTGGATCGCCCCATTCATTCCAGCAGATCTACTCTGCGCAGGGACAGCATTGAACAAGATCTGAAGCACCCAATTCCACTTCCGACAAACACCTCCGGGCCTTGCGGTATCATTTTTGCGGGGAGGCGAATTTCTCCTCTATCCCCATCCCCGTGTTCTTCCTGCTAAGTAACGCGCAGTCGCCAAATCGGTTCTTACCGAGGCTGGAAGATGGTGAACGCCGCTGGTGGTTCTCCCAACCTTCTCGCCTGCTGGAAAAATCTCACTGGCGGCAACTGAGGTGAATGTGTTCGCCGGAGTCAATAATTTGCAAGACACCCTGGGGGCGGGGTAGAAGCTTGATTGGCGGCCTTGGCGGCCATTGGGCACACACCAAAACGCATTCCCGAGCCTGCTTCCATTGGGTGGAAGTCAATCCCCGGGATGGGGGAGGGAAATTGTCGCCTGAGAGCGCGTTGCATGTTGGGAATTGGAGGCTACAATGGATGTGGCGGCACGTTGCGAGAGCATCTCTGAGAGTAGTGGGAGGCCGAATGGGAGGGCCGTGGCGGAATAATTCTTTAAAGTTGTAGTCCTATGCATGTTTTCTTAGAAGTAGGTTTCTCTGAGTTTAGTGTCCTTTTTTTCTGGAAAAATATATGCATGGTTACCCGTGCTAGTGCATTGCAGCAAAGGCAACAAAGCGCCGTGATAACTTCGAGACTAGCATGTAAGGCGCAACTTTGTGCAAATTTGGACAGCAAACAACCTAGTGCTCCTAGTGTGTGCCAGTCAGTCTGGTACTTGTAGGACTTTTTGGAGGTGTTTGACTTTTCTCTGTTTAAACGGACCGGGGATTGTGCCTTTACTCTGGTGTAAATTCATGGACTAAACATGTTAGGCTTGAAGAAACTACAAGTAACTTTGATGCTTTGACATGGGAGTAACGCCATTGAACTCAACAAGATAAAAGAAAAGCCATGCTGAATCAGACCAACTTATAACCTAGTTACGAGTATGGCTTGTACGTTTGGTAAGGGCCTGATGTTAGGCAAGTTACTCTGTCTGATGAGTTCAATGGGACTTAGACCAAAGTGAAGTACATAGAGGGATTGCAGTTTGCTTGTCCATAAGCCCCATTGAATCAAATATAGTGAAGCTTACTTCTGAATAAATCCATGTCAGTCATGCCACATTTACTTGCAGCAAATTACTGAATCGAGGATCTGCTTTTGAATAAATACCACATGCAGCAGATTATGCTACAATCCTATACATGGTTACTTGGGAGTAAGCCTCATTGAACTCAATGGGACTTGCTTTTGAGTTGTTATGCATAGGATCACTCTGTAAGTCCACTAAAATTAATGACCATATTAGCTGTGTTGGCCTTAAGAAAACATCAGAATCTAAATTAGTGTAATGCTAACTCAAAAATCACAAATGTGCAAGCTTCCAAGATCTCTAGATCTCTATCAAGAAAAATTCAGATATTTGAAAAGCAGATTGGTGTGACAGAGTTGAAAGCAGATAATGTTGTGGTCATGATGTTTGCATAGTCAGAGTCTTATGATATGGAGGAGAAAGGTTTGCAGACATTCAAATTGAGCACTATCAGATGATAGGATGGTTTCATTGTTCAGTGCCCCTAGGACCAGTGAGAAAGAATGGAGCAGATAATGCTGAGCTTCTACTTTTGACAATATAACATCCAGCTGATAACTCATTGGTGGAGCTCAAGTTGAGTATCTGCACAGCCTATCATCTTAAGTGTCTGACTATGCAAATATTCTGACTACAATGTCAAATCAGTCTCCCCCTCCCCACACCTTTGCTGGCCTTGAACAGCCTGCATTTTGTAACATACTGGAGACTAGGAGAACTGGAGGTCTCCAAAGTTTGCACATTTTTGTGACTTTTAATTTGGCTTAATAAAGGTAATATGATTTTGAAATTGATGGCTGTAGAAGTAGCTACCGCCAATAGGAATTCATTGAAATTATTAGGATTTATTTCTGTTTAAATATTTTTATTTATTTATTTATTTATTAAAACATTTTTATGCCGCCCCATTCGCCAAAGCCTCGGGGCGGCTTACAACAATAAAAGTAATTATAAATTACAATAAATGTAATATAAATATAAATATGTGTAGGACTGGGCTGTCATAGTGCAATCTTACATACACTTATTATTTGAGAATAAATATCATTGAAGCTTTGTCACATACTCCAAATTTTTATGAGCTGTCCATCTTTTAGAAACTTTGCCCATAATATACTAACAAAATTATGGATAAAGTTTATCCATATTTTCTTAAGACACACATTCACAAATGGCTAGCATAAGCAACAACCACACTGATCTGACAGGTATGATCTATATTCCTTTAAGTTTGATGCCAGAAATAAGCATTTTCCTTGGCGCAAGGACATTTCAGCACATATTTGTATTAAGGGAAAGAAAAATAGTCTAAGAAGTTGCAGGGTCATACAGTCATTAGTAGAGGGGAGGAGACAGGCAGTTTAAGCCATATAATATTCTTGTCTTGCCTTACTGATGTGAATAGTTGGGCAGCTAAGTAGTTAGTTACCCTAATATATGGATTTTTTCCTGTCATGCACAAGAACCTTTCCAAAAATATGGTAATCCAGATCTACCTAAAGCATAAATCCTTCCCTGCTCCCCATTCCTTTTTCTGCTCCACTCTGTTTGGCAAGCAGACATGATCTACAAATTTAGAATTCTAAGTTTAAAGCTTTATTATTAAAGCTTCAAAGCCCAAGCACTGTTCTTGGTATGTTTAAGATAATAAAAGCTGTTCCCACATCCTCTGAAAATATTTTCCCTTTTGTTTCCTATTTGTCATCAAGCTTCACTACATACCCTTCAGAAGACTGAAAGGAATCCAACAGTGTCCTCTGCTGGATGAAAACTGAAAAGGAAGATTTGAGAAGGAAGTTTTAGTTTGGAAAATACTGATAATAGTGCACCAGAACTCTTGAAAAACAACATTGATTGGTGGGCACCCCTCTTGGCTTCCTTGTTTACTTACATTGACCATTCAGGGTATATTCCAAAGGAAAGGAGACAAGTGATAATAATACCAATTTTTCAATAATGATCTGGCTAATCACAGACTAATTAGCCCTCTCAGCATAACTGGTAAATTTTATGCTAGCCATTTGTTAGATAAAACTAGGTATATGACAAGAAAATTTATTGGCTGATGAGCAGGGAGGATTCAGGGAGGGTGGATCAACTTTGGGTCATAGTTTAATTATGCAACATCTGACTGAATATTATGTGACTAAAACCACAGTTTCATCATATGCAGTGTTTGTTGTCCTAAAGACTATTTGATTCTATCTCCAGAGAAAAATTATGGGAGAAACTTGAGAGTCTATTAACTGAAGACTTTTATATTTGATACAAGCCCTATATTCCAATACTTCTTTGAAAGTTAGATGCAGTAAGATTGGACATCTTACTGATTCTATTATAACCTTAAAAGGCGTGAAACAAGGATGTGTACTGGTACCACTGTTATCCACCTTTATAATTATGTGATTAGACGGTTAAATAATCTTGATATATTCTTTCCCTAGTACTCTCACCACAGACACTTTTAGTAATGGGACTAGATCAGGCAATAGCAATTACCAAACAAATTGTTAGATACTGAGCGGCAATGTGATATCAGGAGAGTACCAGATTTTTTGACATGGGAAAATACCAAATATATTGTTGCTACAGCACCTTATGTATCATTCTTGGAGTCTCCCACTCTTCAAGTAGCCTTCTCTCTAGCAAGATGGCAAGTACTCCCCTCTGCAGTCGTGGAGGGGAGATATTGTAAGATGCCACTGGTGAAGAAGTTGAAACAGTTGAACATGTTATTTTTTTTACTGTCAGTTTTATCAAGAAATACGGGCCAAGTTTATTTCTCATCTGCTTAGAAGGTGGCCAGGCAGATTTGATGCTGAGGTTGCCAGGAAGCTTCTTATAGGCAGCAATGCCCAGTTAACAGCTTGTTCTAGGTTTTTTGCAGCTGCCTGCAAGATCTGCAAAAATATTGTATGCCATGTTTTAAAAATTTAATTAAAAATTGAACAGGTAATTTTAAACAATTTTATATTGTTTGTTTGTTGTTATTTTGTCTTTTAATAGTTGGAATATTTTAACCTATTGTGCTATATATAAATTGTTAAGATCAAGCTGGTCACTGACCATAATAAATTGTTGTTGTTGTTCTGGAAAATAGTTCATTTTATTTATTTATTTTTTATTGCTCTTCAACTAATCATCACTTGATTCAGGATTATCATCTGATTGAGAAGTATGTAGGTTTTAGTATTAAATAATTTGTTATTAAATAAATATTCTCCAATTTTAGAAAGATTGCAAATGAAATACATGCAGGTAAAATATCTCCCAGCCTATTGCCTCAGCCTCCAAATGAAGCAGGGAGATGAACTTAATTCAAGTTAAATACATCCACTCAACCCAAATAAATATTTCCTCCTAATTGGGCAAATAGCCCATCGAGATGGCTGAAACTTATAACAAGTATTATACAATGGAAATTATGTTTGAAATGTCTAATCTAGTTAAATTTGAACATATGAGAGAAGGTACATCATATTTTGACAGTTTTACAGAGCAATCCAATACATGTCTGCTTAAAATTATACCTCAGGGTTTGCCATTTTGTGGAAGTGAAAGAAATTCCCATAATTCTCTTTGTAAAACTAAAACAATAATGAATCAGCTGACAATTTTTAGCTCTTTCACAATATCCTTGGGTGAGCTGCTTGATTTGCTTCACTCAGTCTGATGGTAGGGCTAATGTTGGTTAGATTCCTACAATTACATTTATGAAACATACATGTTACATATATCTAACAGCTTGTGTTATATAAAGTGCGATGTTCTCAGGAACATGTGATTTAGGGTCATTTTACAGAGAGTTTTTGGTTAAATCACACAGTGAAGAGCCAATTTGGTATATTCTATATGATAATTGAAGGAAAATGGAAACAGTTTGCATCCAGAATCCTACTGTGCCTTGTGCAATGGGGATTTATCTGTTCAAAACGTAATCTGAAACCAACTAATAATACCAGTTTCTAGAGTGGGGCACTCATAGAAGGGAGCTCCATCCACTTGTCTTGATCCAGAAACTAGTGTTTCCACTAACATTTCCAGGGTTGGTTGTAGAATTGCTCCAAAAATTGCAGGTGCAAAATAGTCTGTGCTCCTGAAATTACACTTTGTGAAAGGTATAGACCTTTTACACTGTTGTTAAAGTCATGTTCATTTACTCTTTAAGTTCTTTTCTGATTTTGGTGGTGTTGAACTTGTTGCACTGGCTGTTTTAGTGGGTTTTTATTGGTTTATTGTCTTACTACAATATGCTGTTTGTTTTATTTTCTTTATTTTGTTAACTGCCCAGAATGCCTTCAGGTTATTGGAAGGTTTAAAATGTAATAAATAAATAAGTTTGCACTAAATTCAGCCCTGCTAGGTCCAAGTTTGTTGCTTCTGGATTCCATTGGCTCTAACATGCGGGCCAACCATAGTGATTTAACAGAAGAAAAACACCTTACGTCTGCGCATAATGCTCTTTCTACTTGCATTATTATTACTTGTATTGAGTCTTCGCATTGAAAACAAGTTCTGAAGTTACTGTCTGGAGAACTTTAGCTCAAACTGATGTCTAGCAATTCATTTCCTTTCTGTTTTTATTAGATAGGTTTGTACCCAATGCAGGAATTTAACTGACTGGGCCAAAACACTGATCTCAAAATAATTTCTAGAGGACAGGCATGTTTGCCTGCTGCAGCAAAAGCTAGAACTTTGTGGCACTTTAAAACATGCACATTTATTATGGCATCTTTATTGGTGAAATGCAACAGATCTCCACTGCAATTCTTCACACATCACAATGCAGACAGACTGCAGAAGTACAACATAGGAGATTCCAGTGGAATAAATGCCAGTGGTATTACAACACAATCCTATGAAAGTCCAGGCAGAAGCATCTCCTGTGTAGTTCCGTTGGTCTTACACTCAGGTAAATGGGAGAAGATGCCTTCTTGGCCCCTTCCAACCCTGCTATTTTGTGATTCCAGATGTGCACAGTAGGAATCCCAAAGTCTGCCTATGAGGCAGGGTCGGGAGTTGCTTATAAACATCCACACACACACACACACACATTAAGTATGCAGACCAGCAGTCTTTATGTATATTGCTTCTTTCTCTTCAATGGGGCTTACTCCCAAAGTTAAGGATTATAACATATGCCCACTTACCTGGGAGTAATCCCCATTTAACTAAATGGGACTTCTAAGTAGACATGCATAGGATTATGCTATAACAGTGCAAAATAACCCTAATCAAGCCCCATGTTCTTGCAAAAACGGAGAACACACACTGGTCAAACTTGGTGAAAAGTGAAGACCACAATCCAGGTGTCGCAGTTTTGATTATTTATTGGTACTGCTTGGCGGTGTTTCATTTTTTTTGGTGTCTAAGTGATGGCAGTAAACCTATACAGCTTGTATTTGAAGAACAGTGGCGATTCTGATCGAAAATTGAACTGCTTTTCCTGGGCTACATCTAATGAAAAGAGAAAGAAAATCTATTGGAGTCCATATCTCACATATCTATGGATACCTCTACATTTTCCTATCTCTATAGCTTTCGGACGCTACCTTTACAGCCAGAGGTGTGGTGATTCAGACCTGAGTGCTTTCATCACTTCCGCACAGGGTTCGTCTGCGCAGGCGCCTTGGGCGGAAAAAGACGGGAGGGGACAGGGGCCGCTGGGTCCTTGTGCCCTCAGGCTGGTGGCCACGTCTCCCGGAAGATGGATCCGGGTAGCCCTGCCTAGCCCGCGGCCTGGTGGCACTGCATCCCCTGCCACGACTGCCGGTTTCCCCACCACCCGATCTTATTCCTTGTCGGTTTGGGCCCGAGTCTGAAAGCCTGGCTCCACACAGCGAGGCGGGGGGCCGGGACAAAGCGAGGCTGAGGGTAGGTAGAGGCCTAAAAGTCTTGACGGGGTGTGTGTATGAACAGGATGGTATGGAAGTTTTGCGGTCCATAAGGAAAGAGGACTTTGCTGTGCCTGCTCTGTACAGCGTTTAGCATGCAGGCAGGAGATGCTCGAACGGGGGCGGGGGGTTCAGTCCTACTGGCAAGAGCTTCTGCTATCTGCGTGGCAGGTTGAAGTTCAGCAGGTAAAGAGTTTCTTGGCATGGAATGCTGCAGTATTTTATGGGGAGTGTTAATATTAATTATTTTACAGTAATAGCATGTCTTCCATCCCTCTTATTTTATCTGCACGATGACAACCTTGTCAGGTTGGTAGGTTGAGATGTTGTGACTGGCCCAAAGTCATCCAGGTACCTGCATGCTGAGTGGGGACTAGAATCTGAATCTCCTGAGTGCCAGTGCAACAGCCTAACCTGGTTGCTAGCCGTGATAGCTAAATTTTGCCTCCAGTATCTGAGTCATTATGCTTTTCAGTATCTGTTGCTGGAGAACATGAATGGAAGAGAACTATTCCACTCATGTCCTTTTTGTGGGTTTCTGATAGGTTTCTGGTTGGTCATGGTGGGAACATGCTGCTGGACCCTTGGTCTGATCCAGCACTGCTCTTATAGTCAGTACTGGAGATCTTCACCTGTTGAAATTCTTGCTGGAAAAAGCTTTCAGTACCAGCCACACAGCTGTACAGTGGCAACTGTAGAGTGACGCACTATTGCTATGGTAGAGTCATTAATGTAAGAGACAGTAATGGAGGAAGTTGCGTGGAGTAAGAATGAGAAAAGGCACTGATAGTTTAGAGGGACATGGTGGAAGCAACTGACTGTAGTGCAGCATGAGACAGAAATGAGGTGCATTGTGCTATTTCTGGGACAGAAGGGTTGAAGAGAATTCGATCTACAAGTTCTGTAAAGTGCACAAAGAAAATAGATGTGAACTACTGTAGATTTACTGATGACAGGAGTTTGTGCAAAACTCAAATGCACGTGTCATTGTTTGTGGTCCATAGGCCAGCTCCCTGTCATGTCCACATGCCTGTCCCATGCCCTGTTTTCTTTGTTACTGTGGGTCTGACAAGATTCTAACTAGCTATCAGGAAAAAGTTCTGCACTATTAGAGCAGTACAGAAATTGAACCAATTACTTAGGGAGGTTGTGGGCTCTCCCACACTTGAGGCATTCATGATGCAACTGAACAGGCATCTGAGTGGGATGGTGTGACTTGGTGTCCTGCAGTAGCAGGAAGTTGGACCTGATGGCCTTCTAGGCCCCTTTCAACTCTGTGAGTCTCCTCTTCCTGTGCCTCAGCAAAGTCATCCACACAGATTAAATCTTAATGGTAGGCACAGATTTGCCATGGGTGTGACTCCTTAAAAATCAGGTGTCAAGTGCTATGTGTTTAATTAGGTTGTTCCAGTGCTATGGGTCAACTTGAGCAGGGTGTTTTCCTTCAACAACCCCACATATGTATTTGTGTGGGCAACTGTGAAACGTGAATGGAGCAATCATCAGTACTTCTGCTGTCAGTATTTATAATGCCAGACAGAGGAAACAACTGCTGCTGTGATCTAAGGATTTGACACTGCTTTTATCTTTATCTTTTCTTTTTGTTTTGTATTGTACATACTGGACTGTGAACTTGCAGGCTGAAACTGTCTATCCTGTTAACATTCGTTCAGTACATTTTTTTGTCACGTAAACCTGTTGAATAATAAGTTTTTTCTAAGCAAGTGCTGAAAGATCAGAACTGCTTTTATGATATATTGAGTAAATACACCCTGAATAATACCTATCTTTATTTATATTCCTGGCTATGTGTTCCAATGTGAAGAAAATGAACCTGTTGGATATAAATACTTAACCAGTATTAGTATATGCAGTTCTTCCATTCCAGTTATTCAGCAATGGAATGTACCTAAATACGGCATAATTCTCAGATTTCCTATAACATCTGGTATGTTCAAACTTGGCCCTTGCACACATTCATTGAACTTTGGGGCTTGCATGGAAGAGCTTCCCATTGTATTGTGTCCTCTGGCTTAGATCTGTCTGTCCCTGCCTGTGTCTCCCTTAGTAGTTCAAATCTACCTTTTTTGGGTATTATCATCCCAGTTAGTTTGTGTGTTTAAACCAAGATCTGCCAAAATTACAGAGAAGGCACAGAGTTGGAGAGCTGGAGGATGGAACTCCTCTTCATCTAAATGGTTTACCTTTCCCTGTTCATCTTCACAGGCTCCACCAGCATACTGCACTTCTGACCAACTTGTCCCACTTAGAATTGAATCACACCTTCCTGTTTTTAACACAATTGTGTCAGATCTGGTTGAATTTGCTGCATGCCTTATTTTTATTATTACATTTTTAGACCAACTGAAGCTTTTCAGATAGTTTTCCACTGGCAGTAGCACTAAAAGAAATACATTTACAAAATGAAAAGGAGAAGCTGTCCACAAATGTGCAACATTAATTGGCAGTGAGCTACCACATTACCCTGATGTTACATTTTTAAAGAGTAGAAGGAGTGTGTGGCACATATTTTGCTGATATGCTTGGATTTCAGCTCTGGTTTTTTAATGGAATGATAGGGCAACCTCCTCAGCACAGCTGTATTAAATTGATTTTGAACAGTAACATTAAAGAGATAGCAGCCAAATTCCTTAGTATTTTGGAATTTGTCTATGCCTGTTTTTCTTATAAATAATTTTCCTTGTTGCATCTTTCTTCTCGCAGGGTGAGCTTTAGAAGACCATCTTTGACTTCCATTATGTCTTGGCTTGTTGACCTGGCTGGAAAGGCAGAGGACCTTCTTAACAGAGTAGATCAAGGAGCTGCGACTGCTTTAAGCAAGAAGGAGAGTCCAGGCAATGTAACTTACAGCAATAGCCACTTAGAGGATGCCAGTGAATATCCAGGACGGTACCTTCAAACTCAAGAACAGCAGTATCACACATCTTCTAAATTGAACTTTATTTCCTCGGCTGCAGATAACATTAAACAGTCAAAAGCATCTATCCTGGCTGGATCTGCTAATGTGAAAGTGACACCTCGGACATCAGTGGAAGCACCATTGCCTGCAGAGGCACCTAGGCCATCTTCTCAGTTTGTGAGGAGGAAAAAGTCTGAACCAAATGATGAACTACTGTTCAACTTTCTCAATAGCTCTGAAAAAGAACCAAATGGGAAAAAGGACCTTAAAAGAGAGAAAAGCAAAACAGCTGCTGCTCAAAGTCATTCTCGGACTTCAAGCATGAGCTCCATGTCAGCAAGTTCACAGAATGTGAAAACTGGGGAAGATGCTTCTGTTCGGGGTCCAGGCGATGGTAGCTAAGCATAAGTACAAATGTTAAGGAATGTTTTGAAGGATATTTTAAAGTTGTGTTAGTGGTGAGAGGATCCTGACCTTATTATGATTGCATTGAGTCTGTTCTGGTCATGTTGCTTCACCCAGTGTTCTCTGAGCATACTAGCACACAATTTGGGATGCTTTTGGGTTTCTAATACCAGCAGTTTGGATGGATTGCTGTAGATCGCTGGAACAGTTAAATTCTTGTTTTATACAAGGCTGCTCCTTTGTAAAGTTATGATAATCATGCTGCTTTCTGAAGCTGGCTTGATAATGAGAGCTCGGATACAGAGGGGTTGCCCCCTTACCTTTTGTGCTGATTACCTTAAGTGCTGTTTTTAGAAGAATGATGGGGGGCATGATTGTGCATCTCATTAAATGCCCCCTACCCCAGCCCTCTTCAGCCTGGTGTCTTCCAGTTGTAATGGATGACAATGCATTGGAGTGCTTGTCCAATCCTAGGATTTCACACATGATGAGATGAGACAAAAAAGGTGGAAATGTTCTCAAATGAGCTTGTCCTGAATGACTCCTCAGGCTGAAGAACTTTAGGGAGTCTGGTTTGTTGTATACAGTAATGGTCAACCTATATCAGGTTTATAAAAATTGTGACCCATTGAGACAAATATAGCCACTAACTATGTGCTACAGCCTGCCAGATGTCACATGTGTGCGAATGTGTATGTGCTCACATGCATCCCTACTGTTTTTTCAGTCAAATGACAAAAAGAGGAGGTTTATCCAGTTTCTGATAGATTTCATTTGGCTTTGTGGGTCATAAGCTGTGGATGTAAAACTTACTACCATTTCTGCAAGTTAAAATGTCTAAAAACTATTATATTTGTTCGTGATAATGGTATGGATCAAGCAGAGCTTTAGACTAAGAGGACAGCTTTTTGTTCTTCTTGGGCAAAAACTTTTATTTAGGACCATCCAAAATTTCACAAAAGAAGTAAGCTTTCAAGTTCTCTAAAACTTGCTATGACCCAAAATCTTGCACATTTCTGTGGAAGTTTAGTTGACCATCATAAATGTCCAGTTGTGGATTTTTGCGTACTTTTCTCTCATGCACCAACATATTGGCTTCATTTGTATTATCTTTGCTGTATAAAAATGTAATTTATACATTTTACAAAATTGACATTTAGTATTCATGATTGTTACATCAAGATAAAAAGAAAAAACCTGGATGTAATATCCATTGAATTCTATAGGCTTGCTTTTTAGTAGATATTGAATGGCAGTGTTTTTCACAGAAAATAGGTCAACAAAGAAATAATGTGGATCTCTTTGTACAGAGACTCCTGACAGTTCCAGTTCTGGACTAGAGACTGATGTGGATGTTAAAAAAGATTCATCACAGAGTACAGAAGCTAATCGTACCGTCATACCCACTGATAGCAGATCTCATGAATTGTCCAATCTTCGCCTTGAGAACCAGCTTCTTCGGAATGAAGTGCAATCTTTAAATCAAGAAATGGCATCATTAATTCAGCGAGCCAAAGAAACCCAGACAGGTAGAGAGAGGTTTGAAAATGTTAAAATATCATTCTACCAAGTCAGACCCTGTGGTCTTCCTAGCCCAGGTGGATGCAGAGTTCAGGATTGTGAGATATTTTCTCCCTCCCTCCCTCTCTCTGTTTGTTCCTTTTTAATTAAATCCCTGACTCTGCCAACTGGTGCCAAATTTCAAAATAGTGGCTGGTGGGGCAGAGCTAGATGCAAAAGTAAAGTCTCAGTGGAAAGAATAAGGTACCTGCTCTAATTGTTTGTGTCACAAATTGGGATGACCTGTCCATGCAAATATACCTGTCAGTTGCTGCAGATCAGAGATTCTCATAGCCTTTTTTGAGGGTGGTTGCAAATCATTCAGTGATCCTGACCTAGCATCTGTCCGCCCCAACCTAGTCCAGTCCTGTTTCTTCTGCTTGGTTGTGTGACTTGAACGTTTCAGACAGAGGAGTCATCTTCAGACTTATTTAAAACATCTTTAACTTGAGATCAGAGTTATGTATGCAAAACATACATACTCTGATGGACCAATGGGATAGTACAAATGTAATGCTCCTAGTTTTTAACCATGACTCAGAAATAGAAAGCGAACCCCAGATTTGTGCATTTCAGTTTCTCCAGAATAAATTCATAGAGAAATAGAAACTGAGCGAGTCACAAGGAGCCTCCTGGGCCATCTAGTCTGACCCCCAACTCCAGCCAGCTCTGCTCATGACATGCCTACCATGTGCATGTTCAGTCTGTCCTTGATAGAAGCATAGAAACAGAGTGATAGAAACAGAGCAAATTCCCCACTTTCCTTGGTTTGCTTTGACCACAGTATGTTGCTATGCCCACATTGACAGGAACCGATCATAATGCTATGATTACCTTCTTAACTAGGCTGTGAAACCAGGGTTTGAAGTGGGTTTGTGTGGAAGGGAAGCCAAATTCATTTAAGTGATGGAAAGAGGGGAAGGGTAAGCCAGGCTGTAGAATTTTAAGCCTGGACACCAAAGCTTCCCATCTGGGGTTTCTTTTTGGTGCAGCTGGAGTCCCAATCCAGCCCTCCTGAGTTCCTCAGATGGCTGTATCTACTATTTCCTGAATGCTGATGTTTTGGTGCTTTATCAACATCTGTGTAGGTCCCCCCCCCCATTGTTTGAAAAGTTGCTTATCTCTTACTAGTGTAAGAGATTTAAATGTAATTTAGTGTAAGAGATTTAAATATGAAGACGTTTGTGGCTGTTTCTTTTGCTTTCGGTTCAGTACGCCTCTCAAATGCAGCCCCAAAGAATTTCTCCAAAATGAAATTCTGCCCTTAGACTGAAAGAGGATCTGGCCTATTGTTAGAAGCCCACTACATTCACCCAAGCTCCTAACCATTGTTAGGAAACTGGGATCATTATCTCTTTGCTGGGCCAAAACCCCACTTGTATTATCTGCTTATTTATTTTTGGTATCCTAATTTCTTATCGGTAACAGAATTATGCTGCTTCCATAAGTTATTCAGCCTGTAAATAAGTAAGTTATTTATTTAGCAATCATGCTCATGCTTGGTTACTAAACTTTTTCAGAGTTAAACAATGCCCGAGCAAGAGTCGAAAAGTGGAATGCGGATAATTCGAACAATGACAGACTTGTTCGAGAACTTCAGGCTCAGGTTGATGATCTGACTGAAGCAGCTGCTGCCAAGGATTCCCAGTTGGCTGTCCTGAAAGTTAGGTTACAAGAAGCTGACCAGCTTCTGAATTCACGGAATAAAGCTCTGGAAACACTACAGAATGAAAAAACACGGTATTCACAATCCATGTCTTGTTTTCCTTATTGGAGAAATCAAACACCTAGCTTTTTTGTCTGCAATGTCTCCTTTTGGCATGTAGAATAGTTTTTGATTTCTGTATAATCTAATTTTTGGCTTCATCTTCAATGGCCAGCTAGTTTCAATATTAATCTTGAAAAGTGCTCTATTTATGAGGACAGCTCAGTTTAAATGACATGTTGGTGTTGAAACTCTTGTGTGGGTTGGGAAGTTTGTATGATTTTGGAGCCCAGCTTGCAGCAAGCATACTTGATGGTGGCTTGGTTTTGAATCATAGAACCTGGCCCCAGATCATGCACAACTTGCATGACATGAGAACCATCTCAGAACCATTTGGATGACCAGAAGCGAACCATGCTACTTAGATCAATCTCTGCTTGAATGTGGAGCATTTCCCTTTGGGTGGAGAAGAGGAGACATCTGGCAGCCATTTGGCTGGAATGTTGCAAGCCTGGTTCCTTATTTGTATTGAAGCAACTTTCTGAGCTCTTGTTTTTCCCAAAAGCAGCATTCCCCATCCAGAGATGCAGTCTGCTTCTGAACTCTTCTGAGCATTTAAAAAGTGTAAGGGATTTCTATTCAGAAAACACATTATTGGATCTCTGTTCATATTCTTGAGGTTGCAACGGTTTTGTTTTTTTTTTTTAAATAAGTTACTGAGAGGCATATTGCCTCTGGTCTTGGAGGTATCATATGGCCACCAGGTCTAGTAGCCTCCATGAATTTGCTTAATCTTTTTTTTAAAGCCATCCAAGTTGGTGGGACCAACACATCATGATAACAATTTGGGCTAAAGTAACAAATTCTGTAGTTTAATTATCTGCTGTGTGAAGAAGTTCTTCCTTCTTTTTATTTTTAATCTCCTGCTGAATTCAACAGCTAACTCCAGGTTCTGGTACTATGAGAGGGATTATTTTTTTAATATGCGCCCCTACACACACATCTGGATAAGCAAACTTAGTATTAGAAATATAAAGATCTCTGGAGAGTGAGCAAAATGGCAAGTCTAGCCTTTTTCCAAGTTACCCTTCTATAGCTGCATAGTATCTAACAAGTCTGATTTTACCTTTTACTCCATACTGCACTGAATATCATTTGTCTTTTCATAAAAATGGGATTGCTGTTGGGGTTTTTTTGTCTTGTAGAATGACAAATGTCATTTGCCTTGTAGGGCTGGTAAATATGGCCCCTGGTCTTCCTGAAGTTGTCTGCCCCTGTTGTATTTATGTTTGAGTGCACATGTGTGTGGCCATAAACACACTTTTTATTGAATAGCTAAATGCTATAGCTGGTTTCACAATATTCATATATCCAGTAACCTAAATACAGCAATAGCCAAATAAGAGGTATGTGGTTCAAAAGAAACACTGGACAAAGACAACTTGTGTCTTCCAGGACAGTCGTTCCTCTCAGGCTTGCTGTCTAAAATGCATGAGACATGAGGAGCAAATGATAAAAGTTATATTATTGTGCATTAAAATCACTGTACCATTAGATGGATTATATCGTGAAGCCCAATAACATACTTCTTTCCTGTTTCAACCTTTACTCTCTACCTGTTCAGGATAATTCAGGATAACAGTGAAGGGAATAGCCTCCACAATCAAGCTCTCCAGACCCTTCAAGAGAGGTTACATGATGCAGAGTCCGCCCTGAGACGGGAACAAGAAAGCTACAAACAGATGCAGGTCAGAACAGTCAACTTGGGAGCTGCTGCTTCCCTTTACTGATTGAGGAGCTGCAGTCCATGGAAGGAGTGTGCAGGCTTGTCAGACCTACTTTGTTTTTTGCTAGAACACAAAATCAACAGGTTCAAAAGATAAACCATTGAGCATTCAAGCAAGCCCAGAAACTTGCTTTCAGGACCAAAACTGAACTGATCTCACAGTCATTATGCACAAAAATCAGCTCCTAGTTAGCTTGAGTATTCTTGATTTCAGGTGGGAGCAAGTCAATTGTACCTGATATTGTTGGACAATTGGGAGTCAGAAACTCTTGCAGACCTACTGCAAATTATCCAGAGATCTACTATAATTTTTTATGTTCTTTGTGCCCACCTGAGTCATACAGAGTCTAGAGAGGGCCTTTATATCTTGCTGTTTGTGCTGTACCTTAAGTACAGACTCCACAGGGAGACAATTTACTTCTTCAGTCAATTTTTAGTGCTTCATCTTGGGTCTGCTTGCTGAGGCAGCAAAGGCATACAACCCTTCCAGATAAGGAAAAAGGATCATCTTTGCTGGCCATGCCCTGTGTACCCTGCTGTATGTGTGTAGACTTCATCCAACTGGACAAATATCATCAACTACACGCTTGGAGTTTACATGGCTGAGCAATTGTGTTTATATGAACACATCAAAAACTCAAGTGCTGATAAAGGATTGCCACACATTATGATCTGCTTGCTTTGCCTTAATTCTTATGTGGAAGTGTCTTACACAGAAAAACTATATAACATGCAAAACAACCTTAATTTAAAAAAAAAGAATGCAAGGATGCTTATAGCATAGAGCTGGAAATTTATCAACACAACTGCCTTATAACTGGCTCCATTAAAATCTGGAATGCTCTGATGATGGATAAGAACTGCTCTTTTATCTAAATTAGCAGATACCTGGAGGGTTATCTAAAATAAGTGAATAGAATAAATATGTTATCAGTCATTTTGTTACAGATTAGAACTGTTTTATCTTTTATGGGACTAAAAAGTTCAAATAGAATAATTGAGACCCTTTTATTCTAGTTGGTTTTAATAATGTGTGATATTGAAGTGGTTTTTTTATTGTATTTCTCATAAAGTATGTCTCTACTGATTTTCCTTCCTAAGGCTGCATGCCTCTGCATATTTACTTAAGAGTAAGCCACATTGAATTCAGTGAGGCTTATTTCTGAGTAAACATATATAGAATTGCTCTGTCTACTTCTCATACAGCTTGACAGTTGTAATAGAACTTTTCCCCTTGCAGAATGAGTTTGCTGCACGTCTCAGTAAAATGGAAGCAGAACGTCAGAACTTGGCGGAAGCAGTGACGGCAGCTGAGCGCAAGTGTGCAGAGGAAAAGCGGAGAGCAGACGAGTGCCAGCAGCAAGTGAAAGGATCTAAAGCTATGTTGGAGGCTGCTAAGCAAGAGCTGGTGGACTACAAACAGAAAGCCACACGCATACTCCAGGTGAAGGACCTCAGGAATTTTAGTCCATCGGTTTTGTCTTTTGAATGTTCTGCATTTTTAAATATTTGCGTTGCTGTTGGCTTTTACTCTGCTTAATACTAGATTTTATATTATGTTTTATTCATGTTGTATTTAATGCTTTTAATGTTTCTGTGCTGCCCAGGGAACTTTGATGACTGGCAGGTATAGAAATGTAATTTACAAAAATGCTGTTTAGTGCAAATCCTTGCAAAGTATTGCATGGCTTATTAAAAAAAGATAAGATGACAAGATGGAAGTATCATTGGACTTGTTTGTCAGGGTTATCTATAGGTGGGGAAATGTATAGAGGCAGCCTTCTCTCCAAAGCAGCTTGAAGAATAAGCATAATCCGTGTCTGTGGCATATTAACTGATCATTGGAGGGAGGGTGGATGGAAGTGGCGTCAAATGGCTGGATTCCTGCCCAGAGAGCATTCTGCTGTGCAGCGTTCTGGTGCAGCTCTTGCTTGTGTTAGACCTCTAGGTGGTGTTGGACTCCAGCTTCCTGAAGCCCAGACAGCATGATCGGGAATGAGGGAAACTAGTCCAGCACAGCTTGGAAAGTACAGGTCGCCCACTGCTGTGTGCAAGCATTTTCCATGCTGCCTAAGTTGGAACTGCCATGTACCAAAGTGGTATACTTTTGAGTATCAGATACACAGAGAGTACAAGTAGGGAACAGGGCCATTTTGGGGGTGGCACCCCGGTTGTAGAATGTTCTCTCCAGAGAGAATTGCCCGATGCCTGTATTTGGTCTTATTGTACCATGTGAGATTTTTAGTACCCCAGACATTTTAGTCTGTTACTTTTATTTTTAAATGGATTATTGTGTTTTTGATATTTCTCTTATCCTGTTTTTTACTCTGGTTCTATTCTAAATTTATAAGTAATTATATTATTTTTTCATGTTATATTTAAGGATTTTAACGGAATTTCACAGGGAGCTTTGGGTACTCAGTAGCTCAGAAATGTAATAAATAATAAATCTCATGTTTAAGCCCTGCTTGTGACCAAGGGATTCTTGTAGGATTCATAATGAGTTTTTCTGCCATAGTTTTTGCAGTTTAAATGTATGGATGTGGATGCTGATGGCTGTTGGCACAGTTCCGTTAACTAATCATTATTTTGTAAAATCTCAGTCAAAAGAAAAGCTGATCAACAGCCTGAAAGAAGGCTCCGGTATTGAAGGACTGGATAGCCAAACAGCAAGCATCATGGAGTTGGAAGAGCTGAGACACGAGCGGGACATGCATAAGGAGGAGATGCAGATCCTGCGGGGCCAGATACAGCAGCTAAGAACGGAACTGCAGGTACTGTGTTGAACTGTGGTGGAGCAAGCAGCTCTGTGGACAGTGTCACCTTTTAAAGTTTGACTCTTGAAGAAAAAAATTCTAGCCTGTTGCAAGCATCAGCCTACAGTAATCCTGCACAGCTGCTTTTGGAGCATAGTGCCTTGTCTATGGTCCAAGCTGGTCCTTATCAGGATGCTGTTTAGGAAATAACAAAAATAACTCCTGTTTCATTGTTTGTAGGATATGGAAGCACAGCAGATAAATGAAGCAGAGTCCACAAGAGAACAGATTCAGGATCTGCAAGATCAAATTCTGACACACAAAACTGCCAAACAAGAAGTGGAGGCTGAACTTGAGAGGCAGAAACAGGTAAGTTTTAGAGAGAGATTATATTTTTTCCATGGTGAAGTCATCTTAACTGTCATTTTAACTGTCTGTGCCCCTCAAAAACAGGTGTGTACGGACACCATTTTGGAGACTGGAGGGCTAAACTGTTTGCTGTAGTAGGTGATGTTTACAGGAGCTCCACAGGACTGCCAAGGGCATTCATTCATAACGTTGCCATAAGTCAGAAATGACTTGTAAGAGCATAACAACTGCAAAGTAGGTGATGGTGGAAAGTACTGTGGGTAATGGAGCAGAGCCCAAGGTCATGCCATGCAGCTCTGTTCAAGCAACTGTTGCACATGCATTGCAATCACAACATATCAGGAGGTGACACCACCGCATGTTGATGTACATCTTTCAAGCATGCATGCTGCTAAATTATATTCTGAAAGTGTAATTCCCACTTCTCAGGTGTAGGGAGTAACTATGTTCACGGTTGCAGTGTTGCTGTACAAAGGTATAGGTGAATCATTTTGCACAAACTGTGATGGCTGAAGCCCTGGCAAGTACCCTCATTTAAAACAATAGCAACGGCATTGTAATCTGTCTAGCCATTACTTGTTTGAAAACGGATTGGGTTTCCTGAATCTCATTAGGTTTATTGAAGATGAAGATTAAGCCAGGGGAGGGAAGATGCTTAGTTTCGCTTTTTTCTAATTGGAACTAAATACCTTGCAGGATTACCTGTTCCTACCTGTTCCTACAACAATTCCATATTAATTAGATAGTGGCAGACTGAACTAATGAAAAAACAAAACATCCCTATTCACTCTCAAAAGATGGTTGCATCGTGTTTATTATACATGACAAAGCCATCTGGTGGTGTTCCGTTGCAGCTGTTCCCTTGACGGACAGTCCATTTCCAAGCTGTTCTTTGGCCTTGTGGTGGCAATACTATCTGAATGCATCCATTTCTATCCATTGAGATGGGATTGAGTTGCATGCACACTTGAGCCTTATCTCTTCTTCAGCTGCTACCACTAAATACTTGGGTTAAATAGTTCAAGTACGAACTCTGACAACAGTGTATAGAACGTCCACCATACTGAACATTAGTGTATATGTCATTCCTCCAAAGGGTGTGAATCCAGAGCAAAGTAGACTAGGCACAGTGGACTCTCCCACAGTGGTGGTGGTGGTGTTTTAAAGGGGTGCTGTAGAATAGGATTGGGGCTATAGTGCCTGTGGCAGGGAGATTAAAAATTTCCCTGTCCAGAATGTTTCCAATAAACATTGAGCCATGGCCCCAAAGCTTGTTATTTGACTTGAAGGGGTAAGGGAGAAAGATACAGGCTTTGTGGTGCCTATATGTTTTTCCTTGTAGAGCAGATGGCTTCTTAGAGGAAAATAATGCAGATTAATGCCTCTTTTGATCTGGCCATTCAAATGGAGGATAGCTACTAGTAGTAATGGTGGCTATGTAGTATTTTTAGTATCAGAGGCATTATACTGCTGAATCCCAGTTGCTGTAGAACAAAACCCATAGGCTGCTGTTGTGCTCGTGTCTACCTTGTGAGCTTCCTCCAGGCGTCCGGCTGGCCACTGAGGGAGCAGAGTGCCAAACTAGCCAGGTGTTTGAGCTAGCACGGCTCTCTCCTGTAGCTACTCCCAGTGCTTGTCTAATTACGCCCTCAAACCAACCAGCCAAAGCTCAACAGAACCTTCCTCTTTCCTGAGTTCTAAATTCTTTGCAGGTCTTCCCACCTCAGTGAGTTTTTGTTTCTGTTTTGTTTTTCAAGCTTCTTTAATACCAGCAGGACAATTATTTCAGAATAAAGCTATTACAAATCCAAACAATGTTCAGATTCCCAGTTGTAGTATGGAGTCCCAGATTGTGAAACCAGTACCCCAACCGTGTCGATGGCATCCAGAAGAGAACCACACTTCTCTCAGGCAGCCCCATTCATGGAGATTCGTGTCCTCTGTGCTGAACATGTTGCTCATTCCCAGTCTGACACCTAGCCTTGAAGGAAGAGCTTTGGAGCAAAGGGGGAGAGGATTTTGTGGTTAAGTTGAATGATTGTCAGTGGTTGTGCCTTAAATGAGGCAGCTGGCAAGCAAAAGTCACAAAAGCAATTCCAACATAATAGCTGAAACTAAGCTTCTGATGTTACCAGAAGAAGTATTTGCTTGTCTTGTCCACATAGCTGTTCCTGACTGGGTTCAGACTAATGAGCCATGGTTCATTAACCAGAAATAACTTGTGAGAAGTACCCATGGATTGTGCTTGTCCTCCATGGTTTGCTATTGCAGCCAGGTTCAGATAATGCAGTCAGCCCTCTGTCAGCAACAGTCCAACGTTCAATGTCAGCCTGCACATGACTTTTGATTGTGGGCTATGTTTCCGAACCCTTTACCAGATTCTGTATTTCACAGACGGCATCCTGAGAACACTCTGATGCTTTTCCCCTGAAGCATTCCCACACACCAGGGGAATGTACTGGATTGTCCATGCTTGTCAAAAGTAAATGCATGTGAGAATAGTGTGGGATGCATATTTCCCCTGACTGGAATACCTAGGGGCTCAAGGAAGTGTGGTGAAGTGGAGGGTAGTGAGAACTCCCAGGTCAGTTGTTAAAAACTAGGGGCTCATACTGCTAGGGGGAAATGTACTTGCCACCTACTTCAGGGCAAGCCCCTTCTGTTTTGACAGCATGTAAGTTGTCCTTTATGAAACCTTGTTTAGCCAGTGTCCATGGATGTTACTTACTGCACATTGACAGAAGACATTCTACAGGATATGGGATGGGTGAGACTCCACATCTTGGCCATCTTTAAGTATGTACCGCCAGAAGCCTTAAAAATGTTCTCAACTGTGCCTATTTTTGCCACTCCCTCCCCATGGGAATGAGCCAGTGATGACTGTGTTTTGATGGCGCAGTTACCACTGGACTCCAAAAACCAATGCAAACAAAAATGGCGTTGTAATCACAGTTGGGGCAGGGCCAAGGTGGGTTCTGCTGTGTAGGACCCTGAGATATCAGAGAGAAGGAGAGGGACAGCAATCCTTAGTAAGCCCAATTGGGCAAATGTTTTGACCACATTTGTGTAATCAAAAATCAGCCCATCACCCATGACTCCTCCAGCCTGGAAGGTAATCTTTGAATGCCATTTCACAGTCTTGGCTGTACCATTTTAACTGTAGATGAAGAAGTCACCATCTCATGCAAAATCCAACAAGATACAGTTGTAATAGTGTCTATAAGTTTTACTTAACTGTGGCTTTTTATAAAATAATCACTACTGGATATGTCTACTTTGCAGGAGCTCCATTATGCTGAAGAAGAACTGTACCGGACAAAGAATACTTTGCAGAGCCGAATATCAGACAGAGATGAGGAAATTCAGAAACTGAGAAATCAGGTAAAGGGTTAACTGTTATAGGTACTGTTATACAACACACAGCCAGCTGGTCGGTGCTGAACAAGCCAAGTCTGGCCACCAAATACAAAAAATGCTGTGGTAGTGTATCATTACAGTCAGGCTGGTCCAGATGTTGGATTTTTTTTTAAGTTACTTCTCATTAAAAATAACACCCAAGTAAAAATGACTCAGATCTAACTTTTCAAACCCACTGTCAGGACACATTGAACTAAACCCTGCCTATTAGATAAAAAACAAAACGGTGGGCCTGGGGAAGAATTTGAATTTTGAGGTCAGTAGGTTATTGTGGGCAATTACGTATGTGGTACCCTACTTTTCCTCCAGAGTTCCCAAGTGTACCTGTTCCATCTGCCCATTTTTATCATTGCAGCTGCCCCATGGTTTGGATTGCAGGTCATGAAATTCCAACCTGAAAATAAGTTTTGGTGGGTGGGTAGGTTCGTTGATTGTTTGATTGTTCACTCCCAATAAACAGCCTGTAGCCGTGGCTTGTTTTCCCTTTAGTCCTTCTGCTCACTCCCAGTACATATCCCAGCTCAGCAGCCAGGTAAAATATATTTTGCAAATTTCCCCCACCTTTGGGGAGAATGATACATGTTTAACTTTTTTTTTACACCTTTGGAGAGATTTGCAGAAATTTAATTACCTTCTGGGAGGCTTTATGCCAATTTGCTAAGGCGCAGTAAGTACCAAAGTTGAATCAACTAATAAAGGTATATTTCTGGAAATCTCCCCAAAGCTGAAAGAAATGATGTTTAAAAGGTGCAAATCTCACCAAAGGTGCTAAAAAAGAGTAATGTTAAATATGCCCAAGCCTCTATGAAGGTGGGGGAAGAAAAGGTTCACAGTCTACTAAGGTGATGAAGTGGAGAAATAATTAACTAGTATCAAGTTGTAATAGAGACAGGATGTTGTTAGGGAAATTGCAAAGAGCAACTGGGTTTTTAAATTTTTCTGTAGCTCTTTCTGACAAACCACACGCAAGCCACTGTGCTGGTTTCACATATCATATATTTCACATATCAGCGTGGCCTGCCGCTCTGTAAACAAGACATCCCGAACAAACGAATGAGTCATAGGTGGATTGGTCCTGAGTAACAAACCAGACTGAAAAAAATGTCTCTGGGCTTGGCTTTCTTGAAAAGCCACCCTGAAATGTACAAAGCTGACAATCTGCTGTGGATCATTGTGTTTTGCAAACTAGGTCTGTGAAGTAGGTGAGGCTGACTGACCTAAGGGAAGGTAGAGATGCAGGCAGTTGTCTAGTGGAAGAAGAACTGAATGATAGGTCCCCAGATTTCCGATTATGTTTGAGGGCAAGCCAAAATTTGTGGTTGCCAGCTCACCACCCCATCACAACTTTTCTTTTGGAAACACTGAGCAGGGGAAGAGTGCCCACGCTGTTTCACTCTGCTGGTTAAGGCACCACAACCCAACACTTTTTCCCCAAGGGAAAGGTGTGCCCCCACCCACTTGCCATTTTTGTTGTGGAGCAGGAAAGGACAGCGTGCGTGTGTCTCTTAAGAAAAACATCAATTCTTCATCTGTAGAATTTATTTAAATCAGTCCCTTCTAGATGGTAGTCCAGATGTCTCTTCCCCCCCAACCCTTAATGCTTCCATCCCTGTCCTCCAGTTAACGAACAAAACCTTGAGCAGCAGCAGTCAATCAGAGTTGGAAAATCGGTTGCATCAGTTGACAGAGACACTCATTCAGAAGCAGACCATGCTGGAGAACCTCAGCACAGAAAAGAACTCCTTAGTCTACCAGCTGGAGCGGCTGGAGCAGCAGCTGAAGACTGTCCAAGGCCCTTCAACAAATGGTCCCTCCATTAATATGGCGGGCATTGACAGTGGTGAAGGTGAGAATGGGTGGATGTGCATGTGCTCGCTAACAGTCGACGTAAATAATTCCATATCAAAGCATGGATAGGCCAGAAAAATGTGTTTCCACCTGTATGATCTTAAGTGCTGAGATGACGACAGAGGTCATACTTGAAAGTCCACATCTGCTGTCATTTAGTTTGGTGGCATCAGGTCTTTTCAGTGGCAGTCCCATGGTTGTGGAAATTCCTTCCTACAGAATTACCAAAGGCCCATTCAGATCATGCGTTCTGACATACCTTGAAGAATTCTTCCTTCCAGGCTATCATTCCTTAACAATGTTCTGTGCTGCTAATTCCTTAAACTTGATGTTTCTTTATGATACTGAATTATTATGTATTAGTGTTATGTATGTACTATTCAACTTTTTTCTCAGTTAGATCCCCTTTTCCTATATGACATATTAAAAAGTGACATCTAAAAATACTTTGACTGAAGCAGATTTAATCCCACTGCACCAAGCTCAGGATCAAACAAGGCGACTGATACCAGTGTCAGAGATTAGTTTAGTAAAAGAATTCTGAGAGCTTGAGTAAGTTGTACATTAAAGATCCTCATATCTATATCACTGTTCATCACTGAATCTATACTGCTTTAAAGTGAGGTGCCAAACAGTGCTAGCATGTCAGAAGTAAACACCGTTATATACAGAGTTGTTTACTCCTGAAACTTCATTTTATCCAATTCCTTACATTTTATCCAATGCTGCCCAGTAGTTTTACTCTACCTTTGGGTGGATTAAAAACCATTAAAATACCTTTAAAATAGTATAAAAATAAGGTTGCATACAAACAAACATATAGTTAGATCACTACCTGATTAAAATCTCATCATATGCTGCCAAATGCATAAGACAACAGAGTGCTCTTAATCTGCTGACAAAAAGATAACAATGCAGTGCTAGGAGGCTCTCATCAGGCAGATTGTTGTTCCATAGTTGAAGGGACCACCACCAGGAAGGCCTGCCTTGCTGCCGTCTTCGATGCATCCCTCAGGGGGGTCATCTGGAGGAGTGCCACAGACATAAACATGGTAAATAAGTAGGTTCTTGTAGGAGGAAGAGGTGCTCTATCAAGTATGGCAGTACCAAGCCAAGTGATTATTTAACATGTAACTATGTGTTGAATCACAGCCTTTATCAGCTGGCTGCACTTAAGACAATCCTTAGCTCATGTGGGTCACAATACTGCCACTGCAAAGAGTTGTTTGAACTCTACAGTACAGTCAGCGTGTGACCAACCGGAGTGAGACTGGCACATGGCCTCCCACTCCTTACTGAATGTTTATATTTACTCTGATCCTACCATCTGCTCCCTCTTACAATCAGAGAGAGATTGTGAAGTAAGGAAGGGCCTGATGGATGCAAGGCCTTCTTCCACTGCTGTCACTTCATGCATGTGTACGCCTGTCCTTGTTCTGGGGATTTCTGTTCCATAACGTGGCTCCAAAGAAATATTGTAAGACTACAATTCAAGTACCATCTGAACTGAGACCTTTTAAGTGATGTTTGCTGCAAAGTTATGATGGATATTGATATTATAGGGGTTGATTAGCTGGCTAATTAGTGTGTGTTCTTTAACATTTTTAATTTAGGCACTCGCATGCGAAATGTTCCAGTCCTTTTTAGCGATCTTGACGTGAATGCAGCAGGCATGTATGGCAAGGTCCGCAAAGCTGCCAGCACCATAGACCAGTTTAGGTGAGAAAACAGAACTGGTGCCATTTCTTCCTCTTTTCATTCCCTATTGACAAAATTAGCTGTTAATATAATGATAATTTGGAAAAAGCAGATAATTAATCAGAGACTGCAATCTGGAACTTGGGTCATTTTAGAAGTAAGCTATGGCTATTCTTCTGTTGTTTTATGACACCTCTCGAGATGTGTCTTTGCATAATCTCCTGGTTCTCTCACACAAAGCAGCTGATGTTCTGTGGCTACTCTGGTGAGGCAAGGGATCATTTTGCCATATCCTTTGACACATCAGTGTTGTGGGGATCCTCAAAAGCCTGTACAGTGGTTTCCATAAAGTTGCACCCAGTTGTGTTCCTTCTGATGATGGAAAGTTCCATCATTCAGTAGAGGCTCCCATGAGCAGAAAGTAGGGGAGGCGACTCTTGCAAATCCCTCTTACCACTTAGTCACCCCCCCATACTTTCCCAAAGGAACCCCCAGTCCCTGGAACAGATGGGAGAAACATGGTTCTATAGGGGGTAGGGGGATGACCACACAGCACTTCCATTCACAAAAGCCTCCACCAGATCAATGAGCCTTCTGTCGCTGGAACATACACAGTGGGGTGCAATTCACACTGCAATGAGGGCAACCTCAGCAGAGTTCCTGGGCTATCCCCCCCTTGATCCCCTTTGTGCCCATGGGCTGCACTTGTACAGCCAGTGGCCTACAAAATTGTGCAGGGTGGTGGCCGCAGCAAAAAGCAGACATGCACCCATTTAACCCTATGAAGTGGTGCCACGTCTCTAGTGGTGTGGGTGGCTGTCTTGCTACTGTCCTGAATTTCAGTGGTGGTGGGGAGGTATCAGAGGGTTTCCAGGGGTCATATGTGGCCCACATGCTCTCATCCTTGCCATATTGCTTAAACTGAAGAAAATTTGACACTAGATGACATTAAAGTTGCTCTGGCCATCTAAGTGAAGAATAAAACAGAATTGAACCCAATTTTTCCTCTTCCCGTACCTGTTCTCCTAGTAGGTTTTCAAAAATAGGTACATTGAAAATATAAACAATAAAATAATATTTATATATTATTTGGTTACAGCATTCGACTTGGGATCTTTCTACGACGGTATCCCATTGCAAGGGTATTTGTAATCATTTATATGGTGAGTCTGTTTAATCTTTTTAAAGCACTATGTTTTTAGGCTTTCTTGCATAATACAGATCTTGATCTGACAGACATTGAGTGATATACACAAGAAAAATGGGATATAATTATTTTTGGTTGTTCAGCACCCTTCATAAATACAAGTTATTTCTTGTGCAGAATGGCAGATGTTAGAGCAACTTTAAATCACTTTTTAAGAAAGATTTTATGTCTCTGCACTGTTGTACATTTGTTTTTAATTTCTAGGAATACCTTAAAATTCCATAGCTTGCTCCCTTTAGGTAGCAATGTGTTAAGGGTGCCATTCGTAATAGTTCTATTTACTTACGCCTGCTTCTGAAAGAGCAGCATGACCTAAGTGGGAATCCATATGATAGTTGCAACAAAGGAGGTAGAAACAAGGATATGTGGATTCTGAGGAAAAGATTTCATCGGGCAAGTTCACAAGTAATGCCAACTCATTCTGGCACTTTACCACTTTAGGGTGGTGGGTCAGCAACATACCTAGCTGGTTGGGCTCATCATGCTTGAGTTGTTGCCCCCTTCCCTTCCTCTTCCATCCCCTTGGCCCTCTAGGCCGTGTTCAAGGCACAGCATGGGAGGAATGAGTCTTCTCGATCTCTCCATTGTATCTATTTAACAGCTAACTAATTTTTGTTTTGGATATCAGGAAAGACAGCTACGTAACTCGTTTAACATGTTCCTAATCTTTTCTTGTTCTCGTCTCTCTTACTATTCTAGGGTCTTGGAAAAGTGTCAAAGTGAGTTCCTGCCCTTTTTCATAGAAAACCAATTTTGACAACCATCTGTCAAACACTGGGACTTTTAAAAATGGAATTTTTGAAGGGGATCTCAGGAATTTTGACTGAGAAATATGCAGAGGAACATATTCACATTTGGTTTCCCTTGAAAAAAGTCTTTGGCACTCACTTTGAACACCCAGTGGGACTGACACAGGAAAGATAAAAGTTGAAAAACTTGCTGAGAAGGGGAGATAAATCAACCAAGCACCCCTTTCTCAGCGGAAGATCCAGCATGGGTTGGGTTTCTCACTTCTGTCAGCTGTCAAGAGAACTTGGGCAGAGGAGGGAAAATGGTGCTCAGGCCTTGGGTGGCCAGTGTCCAGGGTAAGTACCTGCTGCCCCTTGGCAGGGACACCCCCTGCACTGTCCCAGCCAAGGCTTGAAATCCACCCATTTTGTACTTTGGTTAATGAGCACATTTGCACAAATGGGATTAATTTTTTTACACATGCCCATTTTAGGTATATACAAATTAAAAATATTAAGCAACTGTGGGCAGCCCATTCAAGCACCCTTTTAAAGGGACAGCTTGTGGTTGTCCATACAGGAATCAGGAAAGATGTCTGTTAAGCTGGCTTTCGTGATCCTTACCCCCTCCACAAATTTAAGGACAAACAAGCCACAGTGAGCCACAAATGGCTCGGCATCACACAGCAGGAGACCAGCAGCGCTGCTTGGTCACTGGCCAGTGCTTGTTCAGGAAGAATAGCAAAAGGTTTTCTTGCTGCTGTTACCAAGTTACTGGGTGTGGGATTGCTCCTCTAGCTTTGACAACCTATCGTGGGTAGAAGAAACCCTAGAGTAGCCCATACATTTTCGCCATTGGTTGTTTGGGGGAACAAACAAACCTTTGTGGTTAACCCAAGCTGGCTTTGCACAACACGGTCTGCTCCAGCATGGCTGCTTTTATGCTCTTAAGGCCGCTTTTGTCTGGGACGGCTTTAACAAAGATAGCTGACTAAGCTATCCGTTTCTTCACCCCAGCCCTACCAGAGCGGACCGACTTCAGGCAAATGGCCTACTACAAGCGAATCCCTTAGTTGAAGAACCACTGACACCGTGATGGGACAGTTTCTTTTAGGAAGCTTGGAACTATCATGTTTTGCTCACATCCCTGGAGTCACCTTGTATTTGTGCCTCTTGAGGTCTCCTCTCGTTATTCGAGTGTACACCTTTGACTGTTTTCAAAGTGCTTCTTGGCCTTTTGGCTAAGATCAAGTGTAGTATCAGCCACCATATGTGTTGAGAGCAGTTTCTGCCCTCAAACTAGTCTTGTCAGGTTGGAGAAACTCTGAAAACATTCATCTGTCACCACCTTTTTTCTGTGGTGTTAAAGATATCTCATGAGAGTCTGTGTGTACTAGTCCATGAAATGTGTTATTCCAGATATTCTGGCTGCACTTTTTAGTCCCTCTAACATTTTTTAATGTGAAATGCAATAATAGCACATGGCAGTCTTGGGTGTCACTTTTTATGCACGTTTGCAGTGTTCTCCCTTGCCCCAAATCGTCCAGACAGCTGTTATCTTCACAATGGCTCTAAGGATATTGAGTATGGCTATATAAATTTGGTGTTCCCCGAATAATGTTTTCCTGCAGTACTGATAAGTGTTGATATTTGCTGTGGTGGTCTCAGAAGAATACATCTGTTCTGCTTTTCAAGGAAAATAACTCAACCATAAAATTCCTATCATTTTTCACTAGAGGGAAGCTGTGTCTGCGGTTTGTAGAAATATACTGCGTAGTTACATAAGAACCCCCTTTCAGCCTCAACTGTCTTCCTCAGCGCTCTCTGACTGTGCAAATGCCTTTCTTGAGACAACATACTGAATAAGTGTCCCCTTTTTCTGGGTCGCACAGTAGTTAAAGTGTTGCAGGGGGCAGAACACTGCTTCTTATGAACAAAACTTCTTTCTATCTTCCCGCCCCCTCCCCCAGTGCTGTTTATTACATCAAATGGGCCATGATAATTTCTCTCGCCCGTTAAAATTATTCCAAGCAACGGTTCCACTCCTACTTCACAGTAAAATCTTTAGACTACCATCCAAGCTGGGCTAGCATTTGCGATGTGAATCAGCAGGACACAAGCCTTTCTACAACGTAATCTATAATCTCTTCAGCAACCATTGTCACTGCCCACAGGAGACTTTCACAAGGTCACTGTAGTATTTGAAAGGCTTTTCATGACACATCAGGCAACTGACTTTGCCTTGCAGTTGTGCAAAGCCCTTGTTGCAATGAATGTCAGAAAGAGTGGTTGGAATGAAATACAAAGTCAGAATTTGTTCATTGGAAACTTCACAGAAGGTCTCTGTGATCCAGAAGCAGGTATATATGTGGGGTTCCATTTGCCTTTGTGGCAGAGGCAGACATGATGTAACATTTACTGTCTCTCAGCCTGACCTGGCTGGTTGTGAGAATCAAATGCTACAGCCCAGTGTATGCATAGGATAATCCCTTGAAGAAAGAGCAGGAAACAGATGTGGATCCCCATGTACATGTACTGTGCTGTCCCTATGCATGAGTTGAGAATCCCTATTTGCATAGCCCTTGTGGAACTTTTGCATCAGGGTGTTTTAGGTTTATAGTACCATGTGCTAATTCCTGTTTCTCTCTTGTCAGGCATTGCTTCACCTCTGGGTCATGATTGTTCTACTTACCTACACCCCAGAAATGCATGATAGCCCAAGTGGGAAATAAAACATACTACTGGAATCAGAGCACCATACTCATAGGGTTAACGAAGCCTTCATCGTCAACAAGAAGAGCAAAAAAGCAATTTATAAAGACTCATTGGAAGGCAGAGCTTTTGACATAAAAAAGTAGGACAGCCATTGCATCTGTTCTCTCACTGCTTTGGCAAACTAAAATTCTTTGGCAGGTGATCTAAATTAAGTATATTTTCCTTCCGTGAAACAGAAGTAAATTCTATGGGAAAAAAGTGACTGAAGACGCAAGCTTATGTATGTTTAGAAAGAGAAGAGTCCAGCAATTTCCTGCATTCCCCAGCCAGCCTGGGGAATGCTGGGAGATCTAGGATTTGTTTTCAGTCTAAACTTTGCATAACATGGAATCCTAAGTGAAGTGTAGCCTCTTTTCTCTCTTTATCATTCTGTTAGTGGTACACAAACATTGACATATGTATACCTGTAGAGAATTACTCTGTTTTTTAAGAGCGTAGATGTATATGATACATACTGTATTTTTGATCTGACAGAAAATGGGCTGTGATCAGGGAAATTAACTGTACTTAGGAGCTGAAATAAATATTTGTTTCTGTTCTGTTCTTTGCCTTTTAACTCTGTAAATATACATATTTAACTTTCCTTTAACTTGTTCATATATCACAGAACTGAGAGCTACTTGGCAGAATTATTTTTTTCTGTAAATAGACTTAAAGACAAATAAAAATATATTGTGCATTGGTTTAATTTTGCTCCTTTAAAATTTCACAAATGTATCTTCCAAAGTAATACAGAAAACTGGTATTTCAATGCATATTTTAACAGTAATGTATATTAGTGTACATACAGAACTTTAAGACCAAGTGCCTTGTCTTTTGCACCTGACATTGCCTATTAGTTGCCTTATTACATCTTTCTTGTCTTTACATTTTCATGGTATCCATCTTAACATTTTGGGCATTTAATAGCGATTTCATTTTTATTGACTTGTGAATTCCAACTAGACTCAGTTACATTAATCTGTAAAGGGTTCATTGTTAAGGGAGCTGCCAGATGACAATAAAAGCAGCAACCCAACTCAAGCTAATTTTGCCCACTGTTGATTTTGTGAGATTTAAACAGCTTTCTACCTCTGTGGTCCATGCCAGTTTCCTGTGGTCTTTTGAGTCTTGTTAAGAGACAGTTGCTTTTTCTTGGCTTTGCAAATCTAAGAAATGCAGAAGTGAGTTAAGAGAATTGGATCTTCGGGGTGAGATGAAAAAGTGTGGCCCTTGGCTTTAGGTGGAATTTATTCCCAGCATGTTCTACTTTCTAGAGTCTTGCCTACCTGGTTGGTTCATATGCTAAGACAGAGTCTTATTCTAGGGTTGGGACAAACCTCTAGCATTTGCAGACTTCCTCTTGTGCTCGGCCCAATCTTGCAAAGTGAGCTGAGCCAAAAGGACGTCCACCCATGCTTGCAGAATGAAGGTTGCGCAACTGAGAGCCAGTGTGGTGTAGTGGTTAAGAGCATGGGACTGGGACTCAGACGATCTGGGTTCTAGTCCCCACTCAGCCATGGAGCTAACTGGGTGACTTTGGGCCAGTCACAGACTCTCAGCCCAACCTACCTCACAGGGTTGTTGT